AGATTTTCCAGTTTGATTCCATTGTTAACAGAGAACATACCTTGTATGATTTTAGCTCTTTTAGATTTTTAAGAGTTACTTTATGGCCTGTTGGTTATATATGCTGTTGGTAATTGAAAAGGTTGTGTATTCTACTGTTGTTGAGTAGAGTGTTCTTTAAATATCAATTTGACCCTGTTAATTGGTGGTGTACTACTTGTGTATCCTCTCTGGTTTTTGTCTGGTTATTGTAATAATTGTTGGGAGAGGTATTAAAATCTCCAAGTGTAACTGTGGATTTGTCTGTTTCTTCTGCATTGACTTCACATTTTTTCATATTTTAGAACTGTGTTATTTGGTGCATGTACATTTTTAGAAATGTATCTTTTAGGGCGATTGACCTTTTTATCACTATACTGTATAATTTCTCTGTCTCCGGTAGTTTTCTCTGTTTTGAGGTCTCCTTTATTTCATATTACTGCATTCCTGCTTTCCTTTGATTAATGCTTTTTTTGTTTTGTTTTTTGGTTGGGTGGTTTTTTTTGTTTTTGTTTTTGTTTTTTGTCTTTTTTTGAGACAAGGTCTCACTATGCAGTTCAGGCTGGCCTTGAATTCACTTTGTAGCCCAGTCTGATCCCTCCTGTCTCAGCCTCCCTATTGCTGGGATTATAGGCATGCACCACTATGCCCAGCTCCTTTGATTAATGTTGCCTGATACATATTTTACTCATTTCTTTCAACCTATTTGCATTATATTAAATTGTGAATTTTTTATAGATAGATATTTGGATCATGTTTTATAACCTATTGGTTTTTAACTGTTGATGTATCTAGTCCATTTACATTTAATGTAATTACATTTAATGTAATTATTGATATGTCTTACATTCTGATTCTGTGTTAAAATTTATTTCATTCATTTCTTGCATTTCCCCCCTTTTACTTAGCATATCATTAATAGTGATCTTAGGTCTTTTCTGCTAACTCCTATATTTGATTTAGGGATTGCTTGTGTGTGTGTGTGTGTATGTGTGCGCGTGTATATGAATGGGTATGTGTGTCTTGATTACAAGTCACTTTTTTCCAGCCCCTTAATTCCTCTAGTAATTTTTTTTTATTGTAAACCATGCATTGTGACTGATACCTTTTAGAGGTTCTGTATTATGTTATCTTCCTTTTAAGACTGGTATCTGGGCTTAGTGGTGTGCACTTTGCTTTTACTCTCAGCTATTTGTAAAGCTAAGATATGAAAATCAGAGATTGAGGTTAGCCTGAGCAATATAGTGAGAACTTTGCCTGGGTTAGGTAGGGAGAGGAGACTAACAAGTAGTTGAAGTATCAATGGATCACTTTGATCCTGTTGAAGCTTGATTTCATCTTATTCCTACAGTACAGTGTTTAGTTTTTGAGGATAACTTGCCATCTCAACTAAAAGCCTAGGATATTCACCATGGTCTCTTCTATTCGGCTGACCCTGAACTCTCAATGTCTCCAGCCTTTCAATAATTATTCTCTCTAGGCATTCTGGAGTCTTACCTTATAATGCTCAATTCAGGAGTTGCCAAAGTAAAGAAAATTTATGTAGATTTTTGGGACACTTTTCTCTGTTTTCTTTTTCTCCAAGTTATAAGTATCTCAGATACTTCATATTTGATGTTTTTTTCCTTGTTCTCAATGGAGTGTTTGTATTCCATTAGGTTTTATTTCCCTTGGCCAGTGTGGAAGATACACAGGGAGAAAGCTGGAGTGAATGTGCTCCTCTTTTTTTTTTTTTTTTTTTTTTTTTACTGATCGTAGCCCTAGCTTGATTGTTGACTAGTTTCTCCATATAGTTACTATAAATGTATACACATACACACACTCCTTTTTCCAGCTTTTAAAGTTATTTGTGATAGAGTAAGTTGCTGGGCTGGTTGTTCAGTTAAATATAATGAAACTCTTGATAGATACAGCACTGAAATTCAACATTTAATTAAGGTTTCTTTAGTTCTTTAAAAAAAATTGCCTAACCTTGTAAGGCATTTTTTGTGTTCGTCATTTACAAATAATTACTAATATTTTGATCACTTTTTTTATTTTAAAGAGTGAAAGAAGGATAACATAGTAATGGGGGGCTTACCGAATTACAGACAAAGTGGTAGGAAATTATCAATGGTTGTTGTTTTACATATTGTTATCTACAAGATAATTCCTCAGGAAAACAAATAGACAAATAATAGTGAGTTACAGACAAAAGTGGTAGGTTATTATCAATGGTTGTTGTACTATGGTATCTTCAAAGTGGTTTCTAAAGAAAATAAATAGAGCTATACATGAGTGACCAATTGAATATTTATTTTGATCACTTTTGATGTATTGTTAACATCTGATTTTGTATGCCCACAACAAGCAGTAAGGCCTACATAAGTTTTAAAGTTGAGAATTTGAAACTCAGGGTTGGGCTGTTGCTTAGAGGTAGAATGGGACTCAGCATGCGCAGTGCTCTGAGGTCATTCTTCAGCACTACAAGAGAGACAGAATTTGAAAGTTATTTAAGGGGAATGCAATAAATAACCCTCTATTGGAATATTATATTGTTAGTTGCTTTAGTATCTGTGTAGACAGACATATGGTAAAATTATTTGCCTTATTTCAACATTCTGCTGTGATGAGGAAAATAGAATAGATAAACCTAGTTCTTCTTAGTGACATAATCACAAGTGGCCACATTTGTGTGGAATTTTTTTGTTTGTGTTTTGCCAAGCTTTGGTTTCTAAAATAGATCTAATATAGTTTCTACACTTGAACATGACACCCTCTGATGTTGAGGATAGGGTTATATTTGACCTGGCATTTGTATTATTTTGAAGGTAGTATTGACTATGGATTTAAGTGTTTTTTTGAACTTCAAAGAATGTGGAAAATTCAAAATTATTTAAAATTGACTGTCTATATTATTAAGTCTATAAATTTTGTTTTGTTTTGTTTTGTTTTCCTTGTACCCGGAATCAAACTCAGGACCTTGCGCTTGCCAGGCAGGTGCTGTGCCACTGAGCTAAATCCCCAGCCCCTAAGTCTATAATTTTTTGGAAAATTTTGGACTTGTCCAAAATTAAGATAAAAGGTTTATTTTAAAATAATTTTGAAGGACTTTTGATAAGGCTTAGATGGTATCATAATATATTTGGTACCTAAGCTAAATCTCCTGATCTTACTGTCTTCAATCTCTTGCTTTTCTTTTCCTGCTTACAAATTTTCAAACCAAAAAACTCTCTCCTTTACCTCTGAAAATCTGCAGGATGGACATGTAGAGGTGGCACGTTTGCTTTTGGATAGTGGTGCTCAAGTGAACATGCCTGCGGATTCGTTTGAGTCTCCATTGACACTAGCTGCTTGTGGAGGACATGTTGAGTTAGCAGCTCTACTTATTGAAAGGGGAGCAAATCTTGAAGAGGTTAATGATGAAGGATATACTCCCTTGATGGAAGCTGCTCGCGAAGGACATGAAGAGATGGTGGCACTACTCTTAGCACAAGGTAAAACTTTATCTTTCTTTTAAGGTTAAAAAAGCCTTCATAAAAAACAAGCTATTTCTCCACTGGCATCATTACATTTCAGAATATTTTCCTTCAGATTATAAATAATAATTTATAATTTAGGAAGGAAAGTGGCAGGAAGACTAAAAATGATCAAGGTGTATTGTGTACATACATCAGTCCCCAAAGCTGAATGTAATCATTACATATCCCAAACATAACACCAATAAATTTTTTTTTAATTTTTATTTTTATTAGTACATGTTTGCAATACATAATGGTTACATTCCTTGTAGGGAGTTGCAATATGTATATAATGTCTCGATTCTTTATTTCCTTTACTCTCCCATCTCTTGGTATCTTTCCCATTTGAAAAAGAATGGTCACCAGAAAGATGACCTACTAAAAATGGTCCTACTTCCTATTATCTATCTTTTATTTTCTTCTTTGTTTATATTTTGAATTTCTCATGTAAGAGAAATCATGGGAGCCAGGCATGGTGGTACACACCAGTAATCCCAGCAGTTGGGAGGCTGAGGCAGGAGGTTGCCATGAGTTCAAGGCCTGAACTACATAGTGAGTTCAAAGCCAACCTGAACTACAAAGTGAGACAGTGTGTCTCCAAAAAAAAAAAAAGAGAGCAAGAAATCATGGGATTATTAAACCTGTGTATCTGATTTTATTTCACTTAACAATACAGCCTCAAGATGTATCCATTTTCCTACAGATGACTCAGGTTTATTCTTTATGGCAGAGTAGTCTTCCATTGTGTATAAACCTATATATTTTTTATCCATTCATTATCTGTTGGTGGACGTGAAGGCTGCTTTCATGATTTAGCTATTCTGAATTGTTCTGCTGTAAGCATAGGTATGCATGTGTCACTGTCTTTAACTTTTTTGATAATACCTTGAAAGGGATTTAGCTGGGTCAAATGGAGTATCTGTTTTTAGTTTTTTGAGGACTCTCCACACTGATTTTCACAGTGGTTATACTAATTTACATTCCCACCAAAAATGCTGAAGGACTTCCTTTTCCTCACAGTGTCGGCAGCATTCATTATTATTTGATTTCTTGATGGTGACCATTCTTTCTGGAGAAGATGGAATTTCAATATTTTAATTTGCATTTCTCTAATGACCAAAGGCATTTTATTTCTTAGAATGAAAAACATAACAAAAAACTAGTTTCCTCTGGGTGTTTTGTGTCAGTATGAGCCAAGTTTCACTGCACAGAGAATGTTAATGATGAAGCAGATTCCCAATACACGAAAGGAACCACAGACACGGTGAAGATGGAGGTGATTATCACAGCTCAAGGTGTCTTTCCTGTAATTCTCTTACAACTATTTTTGTCTATTGTTATGCTTTTCCAGGAGCAAATATAAATGCCCAGACAGAAGAAACTCAAGAAACTGCTCTTACCTTGGCTTGCTGTGGAGGATTTTCTGAAGTTGCAGACTTCTTGATTAAGGCAGGGGCTGATATAGAACTTGGCTGCTCCACACCTCTGATGGAGGCTTCTCAAGAGGGACACCTGGAGTTGGTTAAATATTTGCTGGCTGCTGGTATGTGTCTTTAAAAATGCCTTATAGCACAGAAAGACAAGTGCAAGTAAGACTTGACTTATATGTGGAATCTAGAAAACTCGAACTCATAAGAATAGAATACCAGTTACTAGAGCCTCAGGGTGAATTGTGTGGGTTGAGGTGAGGTGTGGACAAGTAAAGGGGAAATGTTGACCAAAGGACAAAGTTCCAGTTAAACAGGAGTACGTTTTAGCGATTTAGCAGGGTAATGGTGTAGTGTATACTTCATAATTATTATGAGTCAAATTTAAGGCTTTTTTTAGGGGGTGCTAGGGATAAAACCTGGACCTTATGCATGTTAGGCATGCATTCTACCACTGAACTCCACCTTCAGCTCACAAGAGTAGACTTTGAGTGTTCTTACCACGTAAACTTGATCTTAGCCAAAAGGCTGAGAAGCAATTCAGTATTCTTACCACAAAGAATGATAATTATGTAAAGTGGTAGTAATGTTAAAGCTTGATTTACTCATTGCACAATGTGTGTGTGTGTGTGTATTTCAAGGCATCATGTTACAGCTGATAGAGTATTATTTTCCAGTTAAAAATAAAATGCAATTAAATATAAATAAAATAATGCCTTTTATTTTTGTTTTTTATTTTGTTTTTTTCTCCTTGAAAAATACCTTTAAGAAAATGACATTTATTTAATTATTTAATGGGACTAGGGATTGAACCCAGGGTATGGAGCATGCTAGGCAAGCACTCTGCTGGTGAGCTACTTCCCTAGCCCTTTTTATATTGCTTTTTTTAAACTTTAGCAAAAAAATAAATAAAAATAAAAAATAGTAAACTTTAGCAGTTAACCTTAACTTTTTCACGTATGCAAAGTTCAAAGACAGCTCCACAATTTAACTGCTTTGCTGAGCTACCGTCTTAAGTCTCTAAAAATGTCATTTTAAAAAAGATTTCTTAGCTGGGTGTGGTGGCGCACACCTGTAATCCCAGCACTTGGGAGGCTGAGGCAGGAGGATCATTGTGAGTTTAAGACCAGCCCGGGCTACAAAGTGAGCTCAAGGCCAGCCTGAACTGCAGAGCGAGACCCTGTCTCACAAAGACAAAACAATAAAAAATAAATAAATTTTTTAAAAAAGATTTCTTATTAATGTTTGCTTAGTGTCCATAAGGGTTCTCATTCATCTCTCTCCGTTGATGATTTGTGGCCTCTGGGAGAAGTTAATTCCTGTACTTGGTCTTCATTAATAATAGGGGGTATGGATGACATGGTTGTTTTAAGCTTGTTTATTTCTTGACATTTCTAACTTGTTCCCCAAAAAAGGACATATTAATTTTTTTACAGAGTGATTCATTTTAAAATAGAGGTTATTCATTATTAAATAGTAAATTATTATGGTTATGTAGAATATTTATTGTTTTATAGACTGTGCTAGAAAAAAGTTGAGCCAGGCAGATATAAGCCTTTATATGTCTTTTAGAAATAATGCAGAAGTTTTCATTTGATCTCGATCTGCTATATTTTTAAATTTTGATAAATAAGTGTAAAAGGAAAGTAAAATATTTAATAAAACTTCTCACGTTTTAGAACTTCTATTGTTAACATTAAATGGGGCTCGGCTCAGTTTTTCTTTTGAATTACTCATTTCTTAAGCCAGATTGTTAATAGTTTGGATGATTTATGGTTTAGGTAAAACTACCCATAAAAATTGACCTCTTCCTGACTCAAATATCTGTACTGTTAACCTCTCTAGTTGGCACACGTACTCTTTAATCATTGTTTCCCTTTTATTTTCTGTGACTCCCATTCAAGAGTCATTACAGTGGTTACCTTTCTAATTCTTCCCATACTCCTCTCCAAAGGTAATGTCTTGCATTGTAAGGTGTGTAAAAAGAGGAATGAATGTTTATTAAGAAATCATTGAAGTTTGAGGCCAATTCCAACAATTTAAGGAAAACCTGTGTCAAAATAAAAAGGCCTGTGGATATAGCACAGTGATAGAGGGTCCGTGCCCCCAGTACTGGGGAGGAAAAAACCAAGCCAGAAAAACACTTGTCACTGTACTCAGCTCTTCTGTTATCTCCATTAATTGCCACTAGTGTCTGTGTAGTACGAATTATGTAAAACACTCTTGTAGATCTGGAAACTGGTGCACAATTATGTTACATAGTTTCTCTAAAGTAAGCAAACTAAGTGACAGAGCTAACATTCAGAATTAGAACTCCCGATATTTTTTCTGTTACCATTACCATTGATTCAACATTAGTTGCATAGTTATCTTTTACTGATATAGTGTAGTTCCCAGTACTATCTCAGGAGTTAGAATCACTTTTTTATATGACTATTATCTAAATATTTTTCTCCCAGATTTGAGTATGATTATTTATGTTGTTAAGTTCTTATACTACTAAAGAAATACCTGCCTATACAATTAAACATTTTTGTTGCAATATTTCTCAAATATATAGAGAATATAGTATAATGAGCCCTAAGAACCCATCACCCAGTTTTAACTAGGTGAATATTTATTCATGGCCACTCTTATTTTATCTGCTCATGTTCCACATCCCAAATTTATTTTTAAAGTGTATTTCCTAAGTCTCTTAATCTTTGGGCTCCCGTTTTCTTTTTCCTTATAACTTTTTGGTTAAAGAAATGGGATGTTTATGCTCTGGGTTTCCCAGAGTATAGATTGTCCTGATTTCCATTATTTAATTTAACTTGAATTTCCTTGAGTTAGTTGTTACATCTAGAGACTTGGTTGTATAGAGGTTTGATTTATATAATGGAAAGTAGTTACTTTCTTGAGGAGATAATAAACGTGATTTTTCTTTTTGTGATACAATTAGCCATTGATGATTGTTACTTAGATCCTTTAATTCTTCTGGGGTTAAAAAGTGATGATAGTTTAAATTCTGTTACTGCTTTTTAAATTTTTTGCTGGAATATGTGTATAAAGAGAAATATCCCCTTATCAACTATTCGGTTGCCCTTAAGGGCAGATCATATGGGAATGAAAGGATAAATGCTTGATTTTTTTTACTTTCTTTTATTGTCAAATTCGAACATGCTAAGGCAGTCCTCTAACATCGTTTAAAGGTAACAAGTGAACTGCTTCATTTTGTTTCCCTTTTTGGTTTTTTTTTTTGAGACAGGGTCTCACTATATAGTGCAGGATGGCCTTGAACTTGCTTATGTAGAGCAGGCTGGCCTCAAATCTCACAATGATCCTCCTGCCTTACCCTACCCAGTGCTGGAGTTATAGGCTGCACACCACACCCAGCTTTGCTTTTTATTTGAACATCATTTTGAACTTTTGGATTTAAATATACATGTTAGCTTTTACTTCATTACAGTGGGATAATTTGAATATTGTTTGTCAATATGGTTAGTTCCTAGTCCTTTAATACGACTTTGTTTAGACAATTTCCTTCGCTTGTGATATGGCAAGGTGTTCCAAGCTCATTTTACCCAGTTCCTGCTCTAGTCTTACAATCAATCATTTTCCTAAGCTCCCATTCTACATAGTAGAATTAGATACCACAATCTGTGCTAGAAATGTTATTTCTGCTTGACCTATCATTTTCTGAGGTCTTTACAGATCACCAGGGTTAGGAAATATGTTATTCTTATAGATTAAAAAAAATTACATCAAATGCATGTCAGTATTTCTGTCAAAAGCCACAGTGTTTATACCAAGAGATCCATCTTAAATCTGTGTTTTCTCTTAACCTTGCCCAAAATTTCATTTCTCACCAGTTATTTATTTATACCACAATATCCAGAGAACTATCTGAAAACTCTTTTTTGTTCTTGCTTTTCAGCTCTTTTATTCCAGAAGGTAGTAAATACATGTTGTTGTTGTTGTTGTTGTTTGCTAGGTGCTAATGTGCATGCTACAACAGCAACAGGAGATACAGCCCTAACCTATGCTTGTGAAAATGGACATACAGACGTTGCAGATGTTTTACTTCAAGCAGGAGCTGATTTAGTAAGATATTTTAAATTTCAAATATTTTTGCATGAATTTTAATGCTTGATTCATTCATATTTAACAGGAAATATGAGTAATAGCAGTAGTTTGCAAACTTTAGATGACTTTAACTACTTGTTTAATGTACTAGAAAACAGTAGTGTCTAATAGGGGATACTTTTTCCTGGGTAAAACTATTAATTTCTTATTTCATTCCCGTTTGACATTGCTGTAATTTTTAAGATTTTGTTAGGCATACCATAAATTCAATACATTCACAGAATAGTAACGTATCACTTTGAGTGATTTCTTTTGTCTGATTAACATTTAAAAACAAAACTACTGTTGTTAATTATCCTCCTAACAACATTATTAAAACATTCTATTTTTATGTTCTTTTAGCATTTTGTTTAGGTGTCAGGTTCTTATGTATAGTAATCCTTACAAGTCTAAAAAATTATAAAGAGTTGCAATACTTAAAAGGTTGATTCTTCTTGCTAAAATGTGTGCTTTGACTTTTATTTTCTAAGATGCTTTAAACTGCTTTCAAAAGTTTATCTTAAGGGGCTGGGGATTTAGCTCAGCGGCAAAAGCGCCTGCCTGGCAAGTGCAAGGTCGTGAGTTCGGTTCCCGGTACCGGAGAAAAACCAAAAAAAAAAAAGTTTATCTTAGAATTCTTTCACATAGTTCTTAAAAATAATGTATAAAACATCATAGCTATAAATATAATTCTTTATTATAATTTTTTTTAAAACTGTGTAAGTATTGTCTTTTAAATCATTTCTGATAACAGACATTTCCCAAATTGACACTTGAAAACACTGTAGGAAAATAATTGGCTAAAATAAAGTATAATTCATTTATACTAATACTAAATATTATAATGACAGTATTCTTTATTCTTAATGAGGATCTGCTCTATCAAAGTTTTTAAGAAGTGTACTTTTGTCTGAGAATTTTAAGAGACATAAGTAGATCTTAATATTTTGCCTCCTTTCATTGTCTTTCTTTCCCTTCTTAGAGTTGCTTTGGGGTTTTAAAAATTAGGAATTGAAGTATTTTGCCATTTGAAATTAAAAAAATGGATACAGCATAAAAGTTCAGATGATTTAGTCAAAGTTTAATACTCTTATCTTATGAATTCTTATCTAGATTCTCTCTTCCCTCTTCAGTTTTTCTCTTTTAATCTGTTTATTGAGTTTTTCTAAAAATATTAAATAAGAAAAAGAAACTGTTAAATGTGCTCTACTATACAGCAAAACCTTAGTTATTTTTGACTGGATTAAAAATTTGCTATAGAATATTTTAGAATGTTAATAAAATAACATTTATAGTCAAATATAATCTTTAAGTCCTTAGGAATTAATGTTTATGATTTGGTTTCTTAGAAAATTGCATTAAATAAGCAAGTATTTGAATTTACTGTATCTTTTAAATTTAAAATATAAGATTACAAAAGCACCCTGTTAAATAATTACTAAGTACATAAGTAACGTTCTAATATGCTTATGTTGTAATCTGTTTTCACATTCATATTTACATAGTTATAGTCATGGTGTAATAAATACACTTGTTTTCAGTTTTTTCCTCTGTGTTCTATTGTAATCATTTCCCTACTGATACATGGTCTTTATATTTATGAGTTGCATAATACTCCATCGAGCTGATGAACCATAATCATTCACTTACTTATTGAACTTGCTTTTCTTTTTTTTACTATTGTAGATATTATTAGGCTTAATAGTTTATATGTATAACCTTTTGCTTTTTCTTTTGAATTCTTTCATAATTGATTTTAGTAAGTTTTAACAAAAGTTTAACAATATATTGCCTATTCTGTGCTTTAACCATCTGTGCAGATGTATCTCAGTTTTAACACTGAACTTTTCTTGGTAATAAAAAGTAGTAATTGTTCTTCAGGATGAGAAAGTATGATAATTTTGATATTTAAAACTTATAAATAAGCTTTACTGTAGGCCAGAAGAAAAAGTTCTAGTTAAAAACAGGAAGCACTTTAGGTTAGGGTGCAGTTTAGTAGTAGAATATACATTATTTCGTGGGAAAGGAGGCTTTTGGATTTACCTTCTAAATGTGTAGTAAGCATAATTTAGAATTTTGTTTTAAAAGAAATCTTGAAAATTTCTTATTTTAAAAACTCAGTTGGGCCGGGCGTGGTGGCGCACGCCTGTAATCCCAGCACTCGGGAGGCTGAGGCAGGAGGATCGTTGCTAGTTCAAGACCAGCCTGGGCTACAAAGTGAGTTCAAGGCCAGCCTGAACTGCAGAGCAGGACCTTGTCTCAAAAAGACAAAAACAAACAAACAAAAAAAACTTACAGCTGGAATTGACAGCATACGTAAGCATTTTCAGAATATGTGCATTTATGTCAAAGTATATGCATGTTCAGTTTGTGTTTTTAGAGTTATTTGAAACTTCATTTTCCCTAGTTCTAAATATATTTTAAATTAAAAATATGTATTTCTAATTGGAAGCCCACTGAATATCCATTTGTAGAGAATGTGGATTGTATTTTGGCTCTTTGATATATGGCTTGTTATTAATGATTGCAGAAACGTGAATAATCCATTATTGAAAACTTATAGACTAGGTTAATATTCTTAAATAGGCCACTTGGAATGTTGTTTTTGAAAATGAAACTATTAAAGGAAATAAAAAGTTGTCTGTAAGCACAGAGTTTTAATGAATAAGCAGATCACCTTGAACAAGTGACCATATCCTTCCTGCTGTATGCATCTCTTGTTACTGTAGTGGGATTCATGGATATTGAAATAAAGATTATTTCTGTTTTTTTTTCTCTGCATAGCATTTTTGTTTATTGGGCTCAGATTTGTTTTCAGTATTGTGAGTACATGTGTAAGGTTATCATAAGAAAGATTTTTTTTTTAATCAGCATTTTTTTTATGAGCAGATTGTTTAAAAATTTTTTAAGTCTTTGGAAATCACTTAATCTTACTTCTCTGATAAGGATTTTCCTGTCCATATTCTTACAAAATGTAACAGAACTACTTAACCAGAAATAGCTAGGAAACACCCTTTAAAAAGTGAAATTGACCAACTTCTCATAGTATTGGAGCTACTCCTGTGGTATCCTGTATTACTCCAGGATGATTTTTTTCCAAATACTGAACTTTAGCACAGAAAACAGAATTTTAGTATTTCATATTACTCTCAGCTTCCTAACTTTAGCCAAAGTGTGTATATCTTCTATTACCATAGTCCTCCAACTCTCCTTCACTATTAATTCTCAAGCTCAAAGTAAAGAAATTTACATAATTGTTTAACATGTAAACGGTATTATAAAGCACTACCCTGTACCTTTCTTTCTTCTGCTTTCTTTTCTTCCTACTTTGATATCAGTGTTTTCCAGGCTTCATGTGCACCCATTTTATTGTTATAGATATTCTTGTTCTTGAGAACAGACTTCATCAAGCCACAGTTTTTAAAGGCGCTCATAGATAGGGACATACCAGTTGGCTAGCATGTTAGGAATGCTGTGGTGAGTTTTTGTGTTTTTCAAACTCTGGGGAGTAGGGTCTCCTTCTTCTTCATTGTGGAACGTTAATTTCAGCATTAAAACTTTTACATACTTTTTAAAAACTTTTATACACTTAAGATGAAAGAGATAGGGCTGGGGATATAGCTCAGTGGCATAGTGCCTGCCTGGCAAGTGCAAGGTCATAAGTTCGAGTCCCAGTACCAAAAAAAAAAGAAAGAAAGAAATATTTGTCACCTGTAGAATTACTTTCACATGAATTTGCCAACAAAGCTAAGTTGGAATGGGAGAAAAAACAATGGGTACAGAAGCATTCCTGTCTCTTTCCTACTTCTTTTTATTTCTAGATGAAGTGTACCATGGTATAGCTGATAAATATGGTCTAAACTCAAGGAGTATTTACCCTAATAAACAACTAAATCAGGAGAGAAGGTAAATAAATACATTATAGCTATGTTCATGTAAATAGATTTTGTAATCAAATTTAGCATTTTATAGGCCTGCATTTCTATTCAAAAGTAAATCCATAGCTGGGTGTGGTGGTGCACACCTGTAATCCCAGAACTCAGGAGGCTGAGGCAGGAGGATCTTTGTGAGTTCAAGACCAGCCTGGGTTACAAAGTGAGCTCAAGTTAGCCTGAACTGCATGGCAAGCCTGTCTCAAAAAGACAAAAAAAAAAAAAAGTATATCCACCAAATAAATAAACACTTGTGAAAGACATTCTGTAAACCTATGACTGAATGGAGAGGTCTTACAAGTGACAAAAGCTCCATTTGGTTGTTTAGGAAGCAGTAATGCCACTGAACACTAGAAAAGACACCTAAATTTTCATCATTGCTATCAAATCACTGATTTATAAGCAAACACTTGCCTCACCATTGTCATCTGCAATATGAAATTTATTACTGTCTTCTGGACGTTATACCAAGGTCATATAAATATTTGTAGTTTAGGATTTGGAAGGGAAATATTACAGTGTAATAGAAAGTGACTTTTCCTGTGCTGGGAGATATAAAACTTGGATTATTATTTTGTCTTTTCTGAGTGTCCTGCAGCAAATCACTTACATTTTCTAGGCTTCTTTTATTCTTTATCATCCTCTTCTTCTTATCTTTGTTTTATGAAGGATTTAGACCAGATGATCTTCAGTGACCTGACTGAAAAAATCTAATTATATGACTTCTGAAGGACATGTTAATCTAGTCACTTGTGTGGATGTAGTAGATGATCTCAAATACTTTCTTAATCCAGCAATACATAAGTTGCTATTGAGGTCCTTTAAGAAAATGAATTTTAAAGTTATAAATCATTACTAATGGTGGTGTTATATAAACTGTTGTCTTAAAGTCTTTCTATATATTGGCTGGCTGTGGTGGCACACACCTGTAATCCCAGCACTTGGGGGAGGCTGAGGCAGGAGGATCAACCTGAGTTCGGGGCCAGCCTGAACTACACAGTGAAACCCTGTCTCAAAAATAAATACATAAATAAATAAATAAACAAACAATTTACTATATCTGCTCCAATAAAGAATAATCTGGTATTATAATCTTTTCCCTTCTACGTCTTTTTTCTCAATGTTTTATACTACTTACATGTTGTCAAGGAAGCGGGAAGGTTTTGTGGGGTTTTTTTGTTTGGTTGGTTGGGGTTTTTTTTTGGTACTGGGAATTGAACTCATGACCTTGGGCTTGCCAGGCAGGCGCTTATGTCACTAAGCTAAATCCCTGGCCCAGGAAGGTTTTCTGACATTGATTTTTAGTTATGAATATACTGTCACCATTTTTTTTATATACTGTCACCATTAATCTTCATCATTATTCAATTAAAGATTTTTGTTCTTCTTCCAACTTATAAGCCTGCTCAGGGTGTATCACTTTTTTAAGCCATTTAAAGAGTTTATGTTTTTTCTAACTTACTTGGAAGTACAGGGCAGTGTTTAGCTAAGATTTTGTTCTATTTGTTTTTGTAGGGCCTTCGGATAGGTTCCATGTTAGATAGTTTGTGTTATTATGCTTGAATGTAGTTTGCTATTAGTTAAAAAGAACATGGGAGGGAGTGAGGAAAGGAAGTAAATTTTAGTGGTACTAGAGGTTTTAACCAGAGCCTTTGTACTAAGCTACATCATCAGCTCCTTTTTAATTTTTTAAGATAGGATCTTGCCCATGCTGGGCTTGAACTTGCAATCCTGCACAGCCTCCCAGGGCTGGGATTACAGGTGTGTGCCACCACTCCCAGAAGAAGTGACTCTTGACAGCTTCTTCAAATCATACCATTGTTTCTTAGTGAATGTTTACCATAAGAGATGTATCCTTTTAGGATAAGCACATCACCCAGGAAGGAGATTGGAATCTAACATAGAGTACATTTTGAAGCCACATTTCTTTTTTGTTTTGCTTTGTTTTTTGGTACTAGGAATCGAACTCAGGACCTTGCACTTGCCACTGAACTATATCCCCGGCCCTAAGCCACATTTCTTTTATTTGGAGACTTCTTTGACTCTGGTCAGTGATTGAAAAGCTTCTTACTCTTTCTCAGCTGTGTCCATGTCACATCTTCAGGTACTTTCTCCCTGTTACAAGCAAAATGTAGAGAAGATACAGATATTCTATCTCAAATTCTTTTAGGTTCTTGTTTTACTTGGTAAATGTGGGCACTATTTATAATGAGGAGGGGGCTCTGTAACTAATGATCTTACCAATATTTTCCTTGCTATTTTCCCTCAATTTTTCTCATTCCTAACTCTTGATTATTTTCCTTGGCTAGATATTTTTAAATGTTTCTCTTGCTTTTGTGGCTTTACTTGCATTTTGAGACAAAGACATTAGTACAGATTGAGCAGAGTTACTTTTTCATAGAAGGAGATTTATATTGATGTTTTCTTGAAAGAAAAGCCGCATTGTTATACACTTATCTGCACATGAGATTATAGTCTTTATAGATTGAGGATCTCTTTAGTTGAAGGTCCTGAATTACCAAAGCTCAGCATCTGAAGTACCAGTCATAAGACCTTCATAGCCAAGTGTGGTTTTTGTTTTGGAATAAGATCCATGAGTTCTTTTTCCTTTCACAGGATAAACAGGAGGACATGAAGACTGCTTTAGAGGGCATAGGTCAGTGGTGCTGAGCCTATGGTGTGCATACATTCGCCATCACTGTGCTGGAAGGTTACCCATCACTGGCATAGGTCTAGCCAAGCGTCACATGAGGGTGGCCTTTGATGTTTGCAGGCTACTACATACAGAGAAGATATTATTGGTGACCAGAACTCTGGATATCTAAATTCTGGCCAAAAAGTTCTAGGACCCTGCTTGGTAACAAAGGGAAGGCTCCTCAATTAAAAAGAATTGAAGTCTCAGTAAAAAGAGATTTGCATTATTTGTTTCCTTAGGATTCTTCTCTAAGTAATAATTCTTTTTTTAAAAAATTCCTCAGTGAAAATAGTTCATTTACATTCTTCATTATTGGGAGTTAAGATACCCTGGAGAGTCTCAGTTATAAAGTCCTATTCATTATACTTTGTTCATCAAAAATCTGAAACTCAGACTGGGTGGGGAATCCTCGAATTTAGCAGGGTGAGGCAGCAGGATTGCCATGAGTTCAAGGCGGGCCTCAGACTACATAGCAAGACCTTGTCTCAAAATTAAAACAAAACAAATCTGAAACTCAGCCGGGTGTGGCTTGTGCTAGTAATCTGAGCACCCTGGGAGGCTGGAGGCATTTTGATGACTTGAGGGAGACCCTCAAAATTTAAAAAAATTTTAAGAGGCCAGAGATGTAGCCTCTGGCCAGGCACTGGGTTTACATCCCAGGACTGCAAAATCAACCAACCAACCAATTGGTCAACCTGAAACTCAGATTGCAGGTTATAGATATTGGATTCCTTAAATCCTCAGATAAACAAAAAAATAACCTAGTTTAATGAAATATTTACTGTATTGTCTATCATATCTATAAGGTAAAAGTTAAATTTTTCTGGAAATTCTCATATTATCTCATTCTGAAATAGATTTTAAGAAGGTAAATACTTTGTTCATAAGAAACATTTTTTTAAAAATGTGTGAAATTTGTACCTAGAGGTTTTAAAAGTCAAGCAGCTTTTAATAGGCCTTTGTAATCCAGGGAGATTTGCTTAAACTCAGGATCAGTTCTTAATTTATTTCTTAGTGCCAGGCCTTTAATCATATTGTATATTAAGTATCTTCATTATTGGCTTTCTTTTTTTTTTTTTTTTTGTCTGTTTGAGATAGGGTCTCACTATGTAGTTCAGGCTGGCCTTGAGCTCACTTTGTAGCCCAGGCTGGTCTTGTACTTGCAAAGATCCTCCTGCCTCAGCCTCCCAAGTGGCTGGGATTGTAGGCATGCAGCATATTTATTCTATTTTGAACTAAGATAAATTTATTTCAAAAACTTTTTGAAAGTGTGAATTTTTACTCAGTTTGCCTAATATTGTAGGCTTTTATCAAGAATGTAAACTTGAGTGTTAATTCAGATGAAGTACTTCTTCCTAAGAAGGAAATATGATTCTAAATCTCTAGTTGCAAGTCTCAAAACTTGATGTTATTTTATTTTAATTTATTTTATTTTATTTTATTTTGTCTTTTTGAGACAGGGTTTCACCATGCAGTTCAGGCTGGTCTTGAATTCACTTTGTAGCTGAGGCTGGCCTCAAACTCACAGCGATCCTCTTGCCTCAGCCTCCCGAGTGCTAGGATTACAGGTGTGAGCCACCAGGCCTGGCATATTTGATGTTATTTTAAAATGGGGTTTGGATTCAAAAGATTCAGAAGATCTAAAATAGACAGTCTGCATTTTAACTGATATCTCAGAAGATTCTAATGACAAATTTTCCATAACTTATACCAAGATATTGTTACAGTTCAGCATCATTTTCTCTCTGTTGCTTGTAATTTTTAGAAATTGCTCTATCCAAGTCCCAGATCACTGATTCTAAACATTTTTGCCATCTCAGTTCTTCCAAGGAATCTGAACAGTAATAGTAGATTCTAAAGATATTGATTAATGTAAGTGGTAGGTTAAAAGAGCATATTCTCCATGAGAAAGTATCAAAAAGCACAGCTCTCCCTTTCCCACGATTCTTGTTATTCTCTTTATAGAATGTCTTCCCTCTAACTCCAAAATACAGTGCCTGTGAGATAGTTGTGGTCCTTAAATATATATCTTAGGTTCACGGTGGCTGTGATTTTAATTATTTTAAAGAAAATTTAAAATTAAATTTTGTTACATAAAGCCTGTGGGAAAAATTCCACCTTCCTTTCTCATAGTACTCATTCATCAGAAGCAGAACTTGGCATTGTGTTTTTCATGAATAAACTTGTAGGAGGCTCATGAGCTCTTGATTATCCATTTACCAGTATACGTTAGCTATTAGTGACTAGCTTGTCTTTTTTTTTTTTTTTTTGGATTTTTGGTTTTTCTCCGGTACCGGGAACCGAACTCACGACCTTGCGCTTGCCAGGCAGGCGCTTTTTGCCGCTGAGCTAAATCCCCAGCCCCCTCCATGAGTATTTTTTAAGTACTAGAACTGTAGGACTTGGCAGACAGTAGAGTAAATGGTATGTGCTCCTTTTAGCTTAAGCACTACCTCTCATTTGCTATCATCTTTGAGGCCACCTTCTGAGTAAGAAAATTATTGTTGGTTTTTAGGAAA